AAACTCTTATCAAATCTCATTCATATAGTATAAAAAAAATGAGTAAAGCAATCAAGTAGCATTAACACTAAATTTCTGAACTATAGTAGCTATTTATTTATGTACATTGAGTGGCATATGTCATCTAGATGTGGTATCTATAGAATAGAATTATACTCAGTGCACTTATTTTGTGTAATTTGACTGTTATGTACGCATGTAGAAAATTGATAAAACATACGGGTGTAAGAACTGCCAGCAATGAACTTTTTACCATTGGTTTGAAGCCATGTGAGTTTCTCTGCGGCTGGGCATGAGATGAAGGTGCAGCAGCTGGCTGATGATGGGGGTGATGATTTCCATGAGGAGTTGATGGTTTTCCTGGCGGTCGGCTGTCATCCTTTGGTGGCGGTGGGAGAGGACGAGATGGGGGGTGTGGATCTGGAACGACTGATGTTCGATCAAAAATGTGCAAAAAAATGGAAAATAGGGAAAACCCAACACATTTAAGTTTATCGCATTGTGAACATACCAATAAGTCTTTGAGGGATAGGTGGTCTTGCAGGTGGACCAGGATCAGGAATTTCTTCCCGTTCTCCTTTCCGGCCATGTTTAGAATCCTTAGCATCATTAGCAGCTGCTTGTGGTAGCTACAAAATACATCAATTCAATTTAAATTACCATGATTGGATATTTGATAAATTGTACATCAGACATTTAATTAAAATTTTACACCTACTTGGAGTTGGGCAAAAGTTCTTCTCAAGGTATTATCTCCAGGGGCTTGGACAATTGAAGAGGGCTCACCAGCTATGGCTGGTTCTTCTTCTTCATTTTCAGAGCCACTGTAATGATAGTCTTCTCTTTCTAAAATCAAAATTTCAGAAATTAGCAAAGTTGTCACATGTTAAATTTCAGTGAAAAGGTTAACACATGCTGAACTGACCTTTCTCTTGTTTGCGTTTTTTACAACGATCTATGTGATCTTTCAGTTGTATACGGACTTGTCGCTCTGTAGGTTGGTCTCGGATGAAAGGATGTTTGAGCAGCTGTTCTGTATAGGGTCTTTGATGATAGTCCTTCACCAATACGGTTTCAATAAAACCTGGAAAAATTTGAAGGTGAACATTAAATTAATGGATTTACAATGGTACATGAACAAATACAAGTCATGCAATACACTTACTATGAAACCGTTTAGACCACTTCTTTGATTTCAGTCTTGCAGGTGGATTACGGGGAATGAGGAAGAGAGCTCGCATTGGGTGGAGGTCACATAAGGGAGGTTGAGACTCAGCCATTTCAAGAGCAGTAATACCCAAGGACCACAGGTCACTCCTATTGTCATATGTTGCGTCTGGATTTTCATCACAAGCAATAACTTCAGGTGCCATCCAGTAGGGTGTACCAATGAAAGTGTTTCTCCTCCCTATCGTCCTGTCTAATTGAGCACTAACACCAAAGTCAACCAATTTGACTTCTGCATTATCTGTCAGTAGTACATTCTGGCCTTTAATGTCTCTGTGAATGACTTTATTATTGTGAAGGTATGCCAAACCTCTCAGAATTTCACGGCATATGTATGCAATCCATTCTTCTTTGAGAGACTGGCCTTTGGTGGATTTCACCAGATCAGTAACGGACCCAGCCCCACAGTATTCCATAACAAGCCAAAGCTGATCATCTTTTCCAGGTGGGCTCTTCTTGATAAAAGCTCCATAGTAGGTTGCAATATTGCGATGGTTTGAATACTGGAATTCAGAAAAAGCAAATTAGTCC